TAGTCAGTTTCTTAGTTTTTGAATTAGTTAGGATTTATTAAGTAATAAAGTTAATATTACAAAATCCTTTGAGTTCCTTGTTTGTTGTATTCTTTTGATAATTGATAAACTGTTTGCTCCTATTAACAAGTCTTCATACCACTGTTAATAGTTAAATACACCTCTTTTATAATTGATCATACTTAATTCCTTCTACGTATAAACCCTTATATTGTGATTATTTTATATTGAGATTAGTAATTCTTATAGTTATACTTAGTTTTGTTATTAGTTTTAATATTATTTTTATCCCGTTGTCTTTGTAAATTGTAGAAGGTTTACACAGATAACACCAGGTACACTTTTACTTTTTTGCCAACATCATGTATTGTTCCAAGTGACACAACAAAAGTAAGTAAACTTAATCAAATTGGATGTCAGGTTTTTCATCTCATTGAGTAACTTCCATACCATCAACTTTTCTATAATATATATATGGACAACTATTTTTCTAACATTTCTCTTTTTCGATTTCTTCAGCAGAATGAAATTGGTACTTGTGAAACTGTACGAAAAACTTCTGTGAGTTTGTCAAAAGAATTAAAGCTTGATAAAGATATTAAACTTGATTGGGTCGTTTGTTCTGGAGTTGTGATAAATAATGTATTAGTTGTCCTCTGTATCGATATCAGATAACTAGTTTAGAAGAAGAACTTGAAAAATAGATATAGTATTTTTTTATTATTTCTTTTATTGTTTATTTTATATAATTTTTATTAAGCTTTTATTTTTATTATAGGTCAAATCAGATTTACCAGATAGCATATTTCGGAAAATTTGTTTGATGCCTGTATAATTGAACTTGACCAGTTTATTTTAAATCTTGATCCAATAAGAATTTATAAACTTTGGCATGCACTGGTTGAAAATTGATAAAACATACATATATTGGGTACCCGATATGTGTATGTTTTATCAATTTTGACCAGTGATGTTTTCTCCATTAATAGAAAAAGTGAATATTTCATAGTGTCATGTAATAATATCACACATCTTTGTACATGTCTAATGTTAATCAACTATGATCTTGTCTATCACCATTTTTTCATGATAATGTTAATTTTTCCAATTACCAAATTTTATATTGAACTTGTGCCACAATACTAAAATACGGATTCATCAGTTATGGATGAAGTTTTAAGTTTTCTCCATGAGCCAGCTATTTTAGCAACTTCAGGTCAGGAATTTGGTATGGTTAACATTCAGTTGAAGTTAACTTTTTACATTTAAATACTATACAAGACAATTATGTTTTTATTAAAGAGTTTTGTAAAGAAATGTCACAAAAGCAATAATATGAAAGAGAATTTTATATTATAAAAAAACTTTTAATTTGGCCATCACAACAGGTAGAATTGAGAAACTTTACAAAATTCATTTAAAGTTGGTCAAGGAAATGGAAGTTGAAATCATTGGGTAAGTTAAAAATGACAATGATATTATTGAGCTTGCTTCTACTATCAACAATCCTATCAGTATCAAACCAAAAGGCCAGAAGTACAAAGATTTTAATCATGTGAACACAAATTACAAAGGAAAAAAAGAGATGTCTGAACCTCATCAAATTGACAAAGAAAATAATATCGATAATAAAAATTGCAAGGAATTGACACATAAAAAGCTTCAAAAAATATTATAAGATAATGGATCAAATGAATTAACAAATGGTGAGACTAGCACTAAAAGAATGTGTGACATTTGTAATGAAAAAGGATACAATGCACAAACAGTCCAGTGAAAAAGAAAATCACTACCAATTAGACTTCAAGATCAGTGGGAAAAAGTAAAAGGAAGGTTGGAAAAGAATAAATATGTGTCATTTTTATTCAAAAAAATTTATTTTTCAAAGGGAAACTATAAGTGTGAAAGTTTACAATGAAAATAACATATAGTACTATAAAACTGATTAAAACACATTTATAGTTACACATTTTATTTGATTAAAACTACATAAATTACATATAATAACAAAATCATGTGCATATTTATTGAATCATGTGTTTCATTTTATTGGTTGATAACCACTGGTGTTGAATACCACTGGTGTGATATAACAATGTCGATTAACATTATTCATGTTTAATTGAATTCTTTCCATATTTTATATTTTTCTTTAATATTTATAATCATTCACGTAATTTAACCAACACAAGTTCATTACCAGGCTAAACTACTATAATTTAGTAAAGCTTGCTCTCTCAGGTAGCAACAATGGCAATTCAGGTTCTTTTACTTTTGAAGGCAGCTCGGGAATTGGAAATCCAAGTCGAAATGATTCTTTTTGGTGTACGAGAATTAACGGGTTTATTTGTGTACCTACTAATTATTTAATGTATATAAATAATATAGTTAATGGCTGATTAGAGAGATGTGGCATTTATTTGATATGAAATTAACATGAATTTTGAACTCATTAATTAACAATCCAAGCACTTACTCTGTTATTTCAGCTAAAATATTTTTTAAATCTATGCATTCGAGATCTTGTACGACTTTTCCAATATTTGGACGTTGATCAGGGAATTGATTCCAACAATCTATTAAATAAGTATGTGATCGTATTTGTAAATAATTTAGTTAATTATTTTGAGATATTATTAATAAAATGAAATCAAACCTTGATAGATTTTAATATAATCATGTGGTGTTCCAATGATTGGATCTTCTCTATTCCCCTGTGAAATATAAACTATCAAGTCTAATTCATCCTGAAATTTAGATTCATATGGCATTTTCCCACTTGATATTTCCCAAAGCAAAACTCCAATACTATATATATCAGAAGCTCTAGTTCTGCTATTTTTGCCCAGCTTTTTGAGAAGCATTGGGTCTGAATATTCTATTGTATTTCTTGAATCGATTAAAAGCTCAGTATTAAGCTTGGAAATACCAAAATCACTAATCTTAATAGTATTATTGTGGAGAAGAATGTTCTTTGAATTCTATAAAACAAAATTGTATTAAGTTAAAAGGATCAATTGTTTATAATAGTATTTTCGAAATTAATTACACAATTACCAGATCTCCATGAATGATATCATTTGAATGCAAATGTTCAATTGCTTTAACAATTTGTTGAGCAAGATTTAACTTATCACTCCATTCAAGTTTTTCAAAATTAGATTTTAGATGGTCACATAAGGTTCCACCATTTGCATATTCTAATACAAGTATATATTCATTGCTTTTCAAATCTACATCAAGTGCATTTTAATATACAATATAAAATATTTCATAAAAGTAATTACCAATTTGACGAAGAGTATAAGATTCAATTTAATATTACCTTTTTGTGAAATTCCATAAAATCCGATTATATTTTTGTGCGAACTGGCACATGAATACCGTTTAAGCTAAAAATTCATTAAAATAAATAGGCAATTTTTGGTATAGGATAATTATAAAATAGTATTTACCTCGTTAACAAATAATTCCATAGTAGTCACGACTATAGATTTTAAAGCCACTGTTCTCTTTCTATTTTTTCCATTCACTTTCATTAATGTTGCACTGTAAATCATTCCAAATGTCCCTCTTCCAATATTTTTAAGATTTTTAAAATCATTATAATTATATTTCATAATTTGATTGCCAATTGTCACATTATAATAGTTACTAGAATTGGGAGTAGTAGTTAAGTAAGTAGATAGAGGAGTAGATGATTCTTGGAAGTTTTTCATTTAATCAAATATAAAAAGTGTCAATCAAATAATGCATATCATTAAAACGTAATTAATATATTATTATGAAGAAATACCTGTAGTCGTGGTAAATGCAGATATAGAATCTCTATTGAATACGTCCGCTGAAGCTTGAGATTGATTATTAATATTAACTTCTAATTGATTGTCATTAGAATCGTTAAATATATTTTCTAATTTGATATTTCCAAGAGAATTAAAAATATTTTCAATAGTTGGCCTTTGATTTGGATCATCTTTCCATGCATTTGAATATATTTTGATATAATCTTTTG